TTAAAGTCAGTTTTCTTCTCAATAAAAGGTATATTCAGGGGTAAATTGCCAAAACCTTGGCGGTGCACTAATATAATGCCGACTGACTTCTGTAACAGATTTCCATTGCTCCAATTTCCGTTTAGTAAATCAAAATAAATATCAGCGCCCATTATCAATGAGTAATTGTTTTCGGGAAATGAATTTTTAAGGTAATTAACAATTTCAAAAGTTCCCACTGTAATTTTATCCACGTCTTCATTATTTTTCTTAGCTTTCGTGATAGTATCTTCAATTACAATTTTTTCAAAGTCGACTACCTGGTTTAAATTAATAGATAAAGGTAGTAAAAAGGTATCAAATAAACACTGTGCATAGAAAGTAAAAAAATTACCTTAGCTTTATTTTTGTAGTTTATATTTGGGTTTTCTTCAAAAGCTATTTGGCAAAGGCGGAAGCGATGGTGCCAGTCAATTAATTGACATTGTTTGCTTGAGTAAGAATGCTTATACACAGGCAGGACCCAGAGTTCGTCAACACAATCAAATTGGGTGAAAAACTTGACGTAACCTTGATGCCCTCCACAATTAAGCGGTGGGTGACCGGATGTCCCATACAAAAATATTTCTCTTTTTTTCGTCATACGAAAAATTTTAGACAACTTTAAATAAGAAATTATTTTTGTTTTAATTATCAAATAATATATATAGAAGATTCAAGCTTGCCTCAGAAATTAAAAACAAAGATTTTAAAGGGACAAAGAGTGCAACGATTCTACTTAAGCCCTATACCTAAACGCTACACCCTCTTGCAAAAGCTATCAGGCGTGAAAGGCAAATAATATTTGAATTTTATTGGTGGACATTGGCTTTTGTAACATTATCTGATTTGTTGCACGTTGTAAAGAACGCATTTTACAATACATAATGCAGGGCACACTATGTATAATAACGGGATATAGAACATTAGAAATCCCTTAAATTATATAAGTTATGAATTTAATTATAAAGTACATAATTATTTAGTTTGAAGCTCAATTCAAGAGTGAGTTAGTATTTAAAAGCTTCTTAAGTCGCTACAGAAAGTGAGATGCTTAGAACAGCATGTTTAAATTAACTTTATTAAGTCTCAAGCTCCTGTAGAAAATTTAATTATTTAGCTAATTTTTATTTTTAAAAAACGAAAGATATCAGTATACCAGTATATTAACTTTTAAAAAAATTTATTAAATCTAAAAATTTTAGGAATTAGTTATTACATCCTCAACTTAAATTAAGAAACCACACAACGATTAGTATAAATTCCTTTTAAACTTTGAACTCATTTTCTTCCACTACATGTCTCTTTTTTACTAGAAGGTTACACTCGACGGTGTTTAGAGTTTAGAGTTTATATATTTATTTACTAGTGAATGGAAACCCTAGGTTTACTTTCCCGCTTCTAGGTATCTAATGTGTTAATCTCTGCTTGTCAATTAATACCCAGTTTTCATATAACAAATATTATATTCCGAAAATTTATACAAATCGTTTAAAGTTTAGTCCTAGTTTCTTTGAGGAACCAAAGAAGAAATTACAAAAAACCTTAATCTCCTCTGTAAGCTAAGCTGAGACTACGCTACCCATTATAGTCAAACGGGTAATGGGTTTATTAACGCAGTGCTTTTTAGATTTAATAAATTTAATGAATAATAAGGTTTTTCTTTATTAAGTGAGCTAAACTACTAAAGGTTGTTCTTTTTAAAAATTAGTAGATGAATGTTCTTTAAAGGAGTTTGTATAATTTCAAAAGTAGACAGTCTACATTTTATTAGCCTTGATTTGGCGTAATAAAAAGAGTTTAAGACTCGTTAACTGCAAGAGAGCTATTTGATAAGAATGTTAAAGCAATGGGTAATTTAAGTGGGTTTTATTAATCTTTACGGCTATAACCATTGTTTTATATAGATTGTAAATTAATGTGTTTCAATGGTCTTGGGAAGTCAGTGCAAGAAGTGCTAACGAAAAACTTAAAAGAAAGAAAAAAAGTATAATCGCATTAATTGTTATTTGCCTTTTTACAAATATTATACAATTGCAATAATCTTATTACGCACCATATATGGCAACCTCTTTTGAACTCTTTTTTTTTTAATTTTAATATTGAAAGTTGCATCAACTTTAAAAAAAAATTATTAGATGTATCGTACTAACTCATTTTACTTAAACTAAATATAAGTTAAAGATCTTTTTAAAATCCTTTCAAAACCCGGTTTATCTAGACCGATCCTTCTCAAAGCTAAATTTATCTTTTAAAATGAAAAGTGGTGGCTTTGCAGCTATTAAACTGTACAGTTTAGGCTAGTGAGTTAGAATTATGTTGTTGACGTGGTTGTTTAAGTGGTATTTTACAAAGTTAATTAGATGCCCGAAAAAAAAAATTACTTTTTATTACAGTCATTTTACGAAAAAGAAGAACCGAGCCGCTCAATCTAAATTTAAGTCCAAGAGTGCACTTAATTAGCGATGCCTACGTGTAAATAAGAAATATACAGTTAAAAATTAAAGGTTAAAGCACCACAAGTATACAGAAACGGCCCTTTCCCAAATTTACAAAACGAAGAGAGCCGTGTTGTGTAGAGTAGCAAAAATGTTTGTTCGTAAGTCCATCTGTCTGGGTTAACTCCTTATTTAAAATGACTACTTTAAATTGTACGTGAAGGTTACTTAGATATAACGGTGGAATTTTACTAAAAATGTCATCTATTCAAAATTTAAATAGTTAACTTTTATTGTTTAGCACCTGATATAAAGGTTGGCTTCTTAATTTAGTTCTTCGTGTCACTATATGTAGTACATGGATCATTTTGAGTTTAGACAAGTATAAAAAATATGCTAATAACAACAATTATAGTTATTTGGGTCAATGAATTTATTATTCTCACATTCTATATACTAATTTACACTCTCGAGTCACTAATAAAACAAAGGTCACGCTCTCAAGGTAGCTTAAAAGTACGTTTTTCCTTCACGTTTACTGTATCGACGGGCGTGTATAGAGCAGTCCAAGCATAAATTTTTTTATTATTTTTGACTCCAGAAGTCGTTATCCTCGAGCCAGCTGCTTACTTACAACAACAATAATTTGTATGAGCAAACCCTGTGTCCCCGTTGCCAAAATATTTTGCCTATAATTACTTTACTACTCGCCTCTTAGAGTCAGTAAATAATAAACTAAAAGAAAGAGCTGTAATGTACAAGGCCATAGTAATTCTTTAGGTAACCCTCCTTGCATACATCAAGTACGTCGATGTAACAAACTGTAAACTTATGTGTTACGACTGAGCACACGTTATCACCTAGACCACACATTTTTCATGAACCCTGGAGCCAACTCTTAAATAAAAGGCTTGCGCCCGGTAGAGAGCCTTAATTTTTGTTATATTCTCTCTAGTGAAGCGCGTCTTGCGTCTCTTTTATATGATCTTGGTTACGGCTTTAACTTTTTTACTTCTAGATGTCTTTCTCAGTTTTATTGGCTAATTCCTTCTATTTTTCATATATTATTTTTTCGTTTATAATAAATTATACTTAATAACCTATTACATACTTTTATTATCCTTTTATTTTTTCAATTGTAATATTGGCGAGAAACTTAACGACTTTTGAGTAGAAACATTAAATGTTTAACACAAAAGTTTTTCTCCTACATTATATGACAACCCTTTTTGACCATCTTTTTTTTTTTAAGAATCACGCAAACTATTAATTTATTAACCTGCTAGGGGCTTTGTCACTAACTCATCAGATTTGTAGTGCTTATTGAATTTCAGAATTTCTATTTTAAAGCCTAAACTCTTTTTTTACATGTCAATAACTCTGATTACTAAGCGTTCCACCTATTCACTTAAATAAGAACTTTGCAAAGTTGCATTTGTGGCATTAAACTTCTATTTTTCCTGACAAGGTTACAGTCTTATAAAATGCTCCCTCTCGTCTCACTGGCGGGTGAACAATTGTTAACGCATACCAAGGTATCCACAATGCCTAAGGTGATATTTATTCCCTTAGGATAATAAAAAGGGGCATTTACTCAACTAGTTTACTGTCTAACTCAATAAACGCGTTGCTAGGATTTCTTTCTCGCTGGTAGGATAGACCTCTATAGTTAGAGTGCTAAAGCTTTTATAGGGTAATATATTAATAAGCTGATTACTTAATACCTTTTCCCTTCTGAGACTTTAATATTATAAAGTGTTATTATTCTTGAGGATTATTAGATTTCGTACACACCCTTTTTTTTTTGTTTCGCTACTATAGCAATTTAGTTAATGTTAACATGTAATTTTAGGACAAAAAAATCCGTTTACAGAGTTGCTTTACACCCACACCGAGAACTTTGCCAAGTTAAACGGACACTTACCAACATTAGTAACTTAAAAATAAGCGGTGCTTTTACTCTAGTAGTGCTTAGGTTTTTAAATCGAAGTCACCATTAACTTAGAGTATTTAGAGCACTAATTTAAACTGTGATCTAGAGCTAATCAGCATGAACTTTTAAAATTAAGCTTTTAGTAAATATTTAAACAAATTTGGACAAGTTATACTAATTTAGTAATTTTCTGCTTACAAAATGAGACGCCAGTCACTTTCCGTCGATCTAGTTTGTTGTTAGAAGCAATTTGGGTGGCAACAGCTTTGTTGCGGTTTTACAAAATTTCTACGGCCTAAGTGACTAAAGAGAGTTCGACTAGTACTTAATTTTGTTGTATCGTTGTTTATATTAGCAGAGGAAGGAAGTATAAAAATACTATTGGTTATCAATTGAATTAAAGAAAGTAATACATAATAAATAAAGTTTCACCTATCGGTAAGCAACCTTGTTCATATAGTGCTTTCAAGTTGGCTTCCCAGGTTTATTGAAAAAGAAGATCTATTATACAAAAATAGAATGGAAAACAAGTTTTCTTTATTTTCTCATCTCTTTATTCAATAATCTTAATTAGTTTCAACAATAATATAACTCTTCTTGAATAGTGTTAGCGAAAAAACTTACTTTGAGACTCAGGCCAAAAAAGACGACAATCTTGTAAACTTGTGGTTAGAAATCGGTATAAGTTAATTTTTTAATTTTAATGTTTTGCGTATTCTTACTTTATATTTTACTTATTCTTCATGTTATATAAAAAAAGCAAGGTTAGGGGATAGTCACAAAGAAATGCTCCTCAAAGCCGAAAAGTTAGTTGGTAATTACGAAATTTGTAAATACTCATTTCATAGGCTTCCTGACCTAAGTTAATATTTTTTTTCCAATATTTCTATTTTTTCTATTTCAGTTCAAGGAATTCCAAATGTCTTACGAAGTTTATTATGGGTAAAGCTAGCAGGGATAAGTGACTCCCATTTACAGTCTTGGTAAAAATTAATAAACTGGAGCGCTTTTACAGATTATTTAAAAATTCTTACCTATGAATGGTTTGTTTTAAGATTTTTAACTTTTAGCAGTCGCCGAAAGGGCAAAATTTCAAAATACTTAATTGCAGTAGTGACCATTCAATATTATATAAGTAAATATTGACAAACCTTAAAGATTTTAGTCTACATAATAACTTTAAAAATAAAAAAACAAAGAAAATACTTTAAAAATCAAGAATATATTATAAATAACGCTCTTTTTTACAAATATAAAATAAAATTAACTCCTAAAAATAATCTTAGTTTTATTAACTTATAACAAAAGATGAAAACTAGAAATTTCATTTTAAAATAACTAAGTACCTTCCCACTCGCGAATGAGGTTTAAATATAGTTAATAAGTTATCAATAGTTTTATTTTAAAGTTTTAATCCCAATTCTCTGCTTCTATGCCTTTAAAAAGTTCACAAATATTACTAAATTTATTTTTTTTACTTAAAAATAATGAGCTTATAATTTACCTTCACATTGTCGTAGTATTTAATAATAAGTATTATAAATATCAAACAGCTTACATTTTTTTAACCAACCAACGCCACCAATGTCTTCTCTATATACTTATTCTTTACATATAAAATATTATATACTTAAACTTAGACCTTAATTTAGAATTAATAACTTATTTAGGTACAGCACTACGCTTAAAAAATCTTCGCCACACGACAGCCAAATAAGAAGAGACGTCGCACGAACTTTCCCAAATCATTCATTTTTTAGTAAAAAGGGTGGTATGTCCCTTTTATAATTTTATAAAAAAATTAATTTATCAATTATTGCTTAAATCGTATTGTTTATACTAAAATCGCGTACTTATGTAAGCGAGTCTTTTTATAAGAAAATTTCATAATATTTCTCTTTAACAGAAATAGGACAAGAAACTTTGTATAAAGTAGTAAAGGCGTATTCTCTGTATGATCCAGAATTAGGCTATTGCCAAGGAATTGCTTTTGTCGTGGGAATTCTTTTACTACAGGTTTTTATTTTTAAAACGTAAAAATTATTTCTAGCTGAACTTCTTTTTTGTCTTAAATAAATTAACTTTGTATTCATTCAAATTACTTCTCAAATATTTAAGCTTCCTGAAGAAGATAGTTTTACTGTTTTAACAGTGTTAATGCAGAAAGTTTAAAATGAGGCAGCTTTACTTGAAAGGTATACAGTTAATTCTCCTTTATTTTATTATTAAAGTTAATAACAACTCTTCTAATTTTTAAATTTTTCATTGCTTACTGTTATTAATCGAAAAAAAAGTTAATAAATTATTTACTTCCACTGTAAGATCCAAGTAATTTTTTTTTAACTTGTTCTTTATATATTTTTTTAAATCATATTCTCTTAATTTAACAAATACACCATTTTTATTGAATAACTTTAACTAATTTCATACAGATATGCCTTTATTTAGCTTAACTATGTTTCAGTTGAGCAGTTTAGTAGAAGAAATATATCCTGATCTTTATGGTACAGAAATTTATTAAAAGTCACATTGATTTTAATTTTGTTGTTATCCACTTTGGATATATCATTATCTCCGTTTATAAATAGACAAGGATTTTATTAATAAAAATATTTTTTTCTATTTCTAAAAGTTTTATATGCGAGGAATTAGTAAATTAAATATAGAAAACTTTAGTGGGATATATTATTTTTAAAGTCAAGGCTTATTAGTGCATGATTGCTCCTTTTACCCATAACGTCTCATAAAAAGCAGTTTTTACTATTTCCACGTTTCTAGATTCCTTGCCTAAATAAAGACGTTTCAAATAAAGTTAATTTTCTTTTTAATACAAATAACGCTATATGGGGTTTAAAGTGATTTTTCTCTACCTATAGAAAAAAAGTAGCGTATAACAAAGAAAAACCTACCTCATAATAATGTATATGGTAATGTACTAGGAATATAAAAATAACAGTTCCGTATATGTGTAAAATTAATCTTTGCTTTTTTATATATAAAACGTCCAGCTCACCTCGAGAGAGAAGGCTGTGAAATCCAATCCCTGGTAGCCCCGTGGATTCTCACACTCTTTTCTAATACTCTGCCTTTCCCTGTTATCTTTCATTTAATGGTAGAACAATAAGGAAATTATTAATAAGAAAAAGATTAAAAATGGATTTCACTAAGTAAACAAGCGGAAAAAGGCTAAAATGTCGGTTCTCAACTTTGTAGTTTCTGCTAAGTGGCCTAACAACCATAGAGAACTACAGCAGATTTTATTAATATTTTAAGTTTGCTTAGAATGAAAAAGTTCCCTACTTCTAAATTATGGTTATAAAAAATAAATTTAAACAAAGAGTTAGTTTTAAATGTTAGCAATGTACAACTTTTTTGAAAACATGATAGCTTACCTATGCTTATTAAAATAAAATAAGAAATTTTTATTAGTAACTATGTAATAAACAGGATTATGTATTTGTGTTCGGGCACAAGTACAACGGAACTACTCCGGTAAGTATCTTACGTTATTTTTAGTTTATATATTTAAAAAGTAATTTTGTTAAAAGTACCCACTTTTATTACTAGATTTTTTTCATAAATGTAAAGTTATCACCTGCTTTCGCTACTTTTATATATATAAGTTTATTTTATATTTCACTTGCACATACTTTAGATTATGCTACAGCTCTCGTTGAGTATACTTGGAGATGTTAAAAATTATCTTCTTACTTGTTGCCACGATGATATTATGGTAGTTCGTCAGTTTAACTTAATCAATATAAAATCTTTTATTATAACTTCTTTAAACCATTATAAGTCTTTATTAAACTTTTTATGTTTTTATTTCCTTAGCACTATTTTCGTAATGATCTAAAGTGTTTATATTCCTGCAAACCAAGCGAACCCAACAGTCTTAACGACGCTACTATCGTCAGCACATCGCTGTTTGAAGTATGTAAAATATAAAAATGAAAAGGTCAACAAACAATTTAATAAAAAATATTATTAAGACAATGCAGGAGATAAAGATAAGCAGCAAACAACTGTCAAGTTTGCAGCGGATATACGAGGAAAAAAAAGCTTTAGAAATAAAGAGAAACGACAAGATATTTATCCTGACCCAGAAAGTTTCCCGCCTTGAGCTAAAAGTTGAGGAACTTTTGCGCGAAAAGAAAGCTTTAGAAGAATATATAAAAATTTTGAGGTTTACTCTATGGATTAACAATAAATTCGATTAGCACTAAAAAGTTTTTACAAGTGACATGAATTGCTCATATAAACATCCTAAAAGTTAATTTCTATTAAATAGTAAAGAATATTATTGTTAGTTTGTACACACTTTAAATCTACTTAAAAGTTTTAAATAAAGATCAACTTTTAGTTCAAAAAACTTAATTTTGTTAACTACTACAGCCCATAATTTTCTTCCTTAGAGTGTAATAATCTTTAGAGGAGACCTTGAAAAGCGAATTGACATTCTCGAAAATCAAGATATTATAATCGAAAGGCTAAGAAACGAAAATGCCAGGCTAACTCGCACTCTGCAGGAAATCTATATAAAAGAGCAATCCAACAAACTTAAGGTAATATAACGAAAGTAATATAGTTTATCAAACGATTATATTATGTAATCCTTTCTCATTTTTTTTCTTTTTTAGTGAAAAACATCAATTTAAAAAACCGTCGAATGCTTTAAAACCCAATTTTGTAACACTTCAATACTTTAGTTAATCTTAACTTTTTTAACTGATATTGTGAATACTTTTCTGATCTCTGCGTACAATAAATGCTATAATTTAATCAAATACATAGACTAGACGATCACGCGTTTTGGTACACTAACCAATAAAATTGTGGCTTTTATGGCATAATAATACCTGCCGACCATTTAAAGTGATGAAGGAAAGAGGACTTATTAAATGCTTAGCACTAAGCTGAATAGTAATCCACAACTCTAACCAAATCTCGCACCTCACTGATCTTTTTATTTTCTATTATTTTTGATATTTTTTTATTTACATTATTAGTTTAATATGTTTTTTAGAAACATTTACTTAAGA